CGGCTAGATCCAGCATGTACACAGGTACAGACAAGAGCTCTCATCACAGGGAATCCAAGACAGATAAACCCCTCAGTACCAATAATGAGAGTATCGATACCAGGAGGGTAAGGGGAAGGAGGGGGAACCGATCACAATGATCTACATATAACCTCCTCCCAGGGTGTTGCACAACAGAAAATTGGGTGCAGGGAGACAGTGGTCAGTGTAAGACATGAAAAAAATAATTTATAAATTATCAAGGGTTTATGAGGGAGGGAGGGAGTGGAAGAGGAGAAAATGAGTTGCTGATACCAAGGGCTCAAGTAGAAAGAAAATCTCTTGAAAATGATGATGGCAGCATATGTACAAATGTGCTTGACACGATGGATGTATGGATTGTGATATGATGTGTAAAAGCCCCAAATAAAACAATTAAAAATAAAAGTACCATGGACTGACAAAAGGACAAACAAATCTGTCTTGGAGGAAGGATAGCCAGAGTGCTCCTTAGAGGCAAGGAAGGGGCGACTTCCTCTGACAACGTTTAGACACGTTGTCAGGAGAGGCTAGTCCCTGTAGAAAGACATCATGGTTGGTAAAGAGACAGAGAAAAAGAGGAAGGCCCTTGCCAAAATGGATCGACACAATGGCTCCAACAATGGGCTCAAATACCAGAAAGATTTAGAGGGTGTCACAGGATTGGGCAGTGCTTCGTTCTCTTGTGCATAGTGTGTGTATGAGTCAACATCAGCTTAATGACACCTCATAGCAACAACATAAGGCTTTGTAAGCATGATAAAATAAACCTCCCAGAAAATGGGTCCATTATAGTACATTTGTGCTGAAGTACAGACATTTTCCCCCAACACTTTTATTGGCATATAATTCACATATTGTACAAATCCACAGTTAATCACATCAAAAAGAGCTGTACGATCGATCACCACCACAGTTTCAGATGACTTGGATCCTAATTGTTTCTTATCCACTCTGAAAATAGTTTCAGTTCTAAGATCATCGTGGCAGTGGTAACTCTCCCAGGCTATCTCAAATGCACTAAATTATATCCTAGATTGCCCAATGTTGCTTTGGATATTAAAATAGTTAATGCTTCCTCTCTCTAGACTTAAAAAATGAAATATTTATACCTGTAAGTGGTTTATTTAGCTTTCAGGATCAGGGCTTAAAAGACAAATTGACTTAGAGCAATGTAGGGATTTTTATTTTGTTTTGTTTAAAAGACTGGCACTTTACTGGGTACAACTGTAAAAACTCATCACAGCTTTACCATCTAGTAATGAAAAGAGGTACTGCAAGAGGATTATGAGTTATATATTGAATAATAAAATGAGCAAACAAACTTATAAATACATATTTAGGTAAACACTATATCTAGCTGGAATATTCTTAAAAACTCTTCCTGCTAAATCATCCAATCTTTTGATCTGTTTTCTTCTCCGACTCAATCTTTATGTACACTGGTTATGACAAAGGGAACCTTTCCATATGGGTTTCTTTGGGGTCAGTGCCTCATTGGTTAACTGTAGTTACCAGGCCAAGGGCCTGGTTTGGATTTCCCAATGGATCAGTTATCTTCCTGCTAATCTCTAGTCAGACTGTCCTTCAAATCATGGTCAGCCATTTCATAACCATTATCACAAGGGAGATGGAGCAAGGGATCCGGATGGCGAAGGGGCAAGTCCTTATAAAACAGGTGAAAGCACATGCCCTGTGGGACGTGGTGCAGAAGGTTCAACCTCTCATATACAAATAGCCATTCCCTTTATTTCAATCATTGCGACAGATTCTACCTATATGGCCCTTAAACAGTATTAGTTGCCACAGTTTTCCAACTTCTTTTTCTATTCTTTAAGAGGGAGGAGAAACAGGGCTTTCTAGCTCTGTGAACAGTTAGTCTCGGAAACCCACAGGGGCAGTTCCACCCTGTCCTATAGCGTCGCATTGACTTGACCGCA